GCGGCAGTGTTGAAGCCTGCAGGAGCAGCACCTTAAGACCCGCCCAGGACCCGCACTGGCTAAGCCTTGCCGCCAGCAACGCCTCCACACAGAGCAGACCCTGGCCTACCTACCCTGTGTCCTCGGCCAGGACAGGCACGCAGACTGGGCAGGTGGTGGCCCAAGCGCACGCAGGCACCGGGTGCCAGGTCTCAGACTGCAGGCCCAGGGCAGCTGGGAACCAGCACAGGCCTCCCTGCCAGCGGGGGTCTGCCTGTTCGTCGTGCCCAGGCTGTTTTCAGGGGCCCAACTGCCACTTGGCCCATTCAGACCCCCAGGAGCAGGCCCGAGCCAACACACGTACCTGGGGGGGGAGGCATCCTGGGCGGGCAGGGGCCACCGAGCGCTGGGAAGTCTTCCTGGGGCGTGGGGCAGGGGAGGGGCCCCATGGGCCGCGCAAGCCCAGGGGGCTCCTTGGGGGCACTGCGTGCCAGGGCCAGCCCCTCTGTGTGTCCATTGACAACGGCAGCTGGCCCTTCAGCTCTGCTGGTGGGGGCTTCTTCCTGCTCAGCCTTGGGGGGGCTTGGGGTGCAGTCAAGGGGCACTGGCAAGGGGACCGTGGCACCAGGCTTCTCGGAGCCCACCTTCTTCTTCTTGCCGACCTTGGAGGTCTGGGCAGGAGCTAGCCCCAGGGAGGAGACAGTGGCCAAGGCAGGCTGGCTCCGCAGTCCCTCCTCCTCCGCGGTGGGTGGGCCGCCCTTCCTGCCGCCCCTGCTCCCCTTCCCAGCCTTCTTGGTGGGTGGGCCACCCCCGCTGGCAGCCTGGGCCCCCGTGGTGGGCTGAGCCACCTTCTGGCTGCAGCTGCTACTCCAGGCAGAATTGACACCAGCAGGGGTGGAGCTGGGCTTGACCGCCGAGGATACCAGGGCAGGGAAGTCCTCCTCGTGGAAGGTGCGCCTGCTCCTGGCGGATGCGGAGTACGGCAATGCCAACCCCCCTGGGCCGGGTGCTCCAGCTGAGCAGGAGGATGGCGTGGAGGCGGAGAGGCTGGGGAAGTCCTCCTCTTTGAGCTTCGGGGTGAGCGGCAAGAGGATACTGCGTCCAGGGCAGGGAGAGCTGGTCAGTGGCTCCCCAGGGCAGGCCAGGGCCCAGGCGCCACTGATCCACTGTGCCCTCCTCGTGTTCCCACACACCTTGGCGGGGCGGCCCCCGTGGCCGAGTTGATCACTGGGAAGGCCTCTTGGCTTGTGGGACCATTTGTTGAGGGCTCTTTGGGGCCTACAAGACACCACGGCACTCTTGGCTAGGGCGGGGACAGGCCTTAGGTCCCGGCTCCACGCTGGTCGAGCTGCTCGCCTAAGCCGGGGAGAGCGGCTGCAGGCAGAGCTGGCTCACCTGGGCCTTCAGCCTGAGTCCGGGGCAGGCGCCGGGGGCCCCGGGGCTCCTCAGGCCCCCGCACTGCCGCCTCCTCCTTCTTAGGCTTGCTCGCCTCCTCGCGGTCCTCACTCCGGCGAGCCTCCTCCTGCTGCTGTGTGGCCACCGAGGCCCGGAGGGCAGCAGCCACCTCTCGGTCCTCTTCTTCCCTAAGATGGGAGTTCGGGCTGAGCCAGGCTGAGCGAGGCTGGGCGAGGCCCAGGCCCACGCCCACAGACTCAGGCGGGCTCCTAGACTGATGCCTGCCCCACAGCAATCCTGCACAACCACACCACCCACCCAGGCCTGGCCTCTCCAGGAACTCGAGGAGGAAGGAGGTGTGGCTGGTGGAGCATGCTGCTGCCTCAGGCCCGGCGACCCTGCTCAGGACCCCAGCAGCTCTGGCCAAGTCCCCTGACCCGTGCCTCTTCCCAGCCTGGTTGTCAGCTGCTGCCACCGCCTCGGCGTGGTGTGAGAACCTGAGTGGCATGTGAGTCTTCCCACCTCTTATACCTCCAGCTCCCTCGGCGGCTCTGCAGTGCTCCACGCCCACTGGCCCGGCCCCCTCGGCCCTGGCGGTTGTACCTGTCCACCTCCTCATAGTCCTCACCGCTGACGACCCCTGCAGCCAGGAGGCAACCTGTCACTGCCCTGGGTGGGCAACAGTGTCATCCCCATACTCTCCCACTCAGGGGCTCAGGGACAAACACAGACGCCTAGAAGGACCCACTCTAGCCGCTGACCTCTAGGACCTCTGGGGGCTTAGCTCAGGAGGAGTGCAACAGGGAGGAGGAGCGGAGGCCCACCATGCCAGGATGGGGTCCCAGTGCTGGCCCTGACCCAGGAAGAGCCCAGAGGTCCCAGGGCAGCAGATCCAGTACCGCAGAAGTCGCCAGAGCCAGGCTTCCCGTGGTGCTCGCAGCCAGCCGCACAGACACAGGGGCGGGCAGGCACCGGCCACCCGGCTGAACCACGCGTGGACTCAGGTGTGGACCCCCGTCTGAGGCCTCGGAGCAGGGCGTGACGGCGCCGGGGCTCGCCGGGGCTGTGGGCCCTGTCCCTGGGTGCCCGGGAGAGAGCCCGCGACTGCTCACCCTCGCTGCGACGCGAGTGCCTTGGCGCGTAGCTGAACTGCAGGTCGATCTGGCGGTTCTGGCGCGCCTCGGCGCGGCTTCGGCTGTGGCAGGCCGTCTTGTGGGCCTTGAGGTCGATCTCGGTGCGAAAGGCGTGGGTGAACTGCTCAGTGCTGCAGCGGCCCTCCTCGCACAGGAAGTGCTTCTCCCGGAAGTGTTCGCGCAGGTAGGCATAGTCGCTGGCGGGCAGGACACAGTCAGCAGCAGCAGGCGCC